AAGAAGGGACAGATATAAAAGAGATAGTATGGTTTCCTTCCTGAGCAGCAGAAGTTTGAAAAAGGAAAGACTGTTCTGGGTAGAGGAGTATAGAAGTACAGTGGAAGATGGTGCAAAAAGTAAAAACAGCATAGACAACTGAATGACAGCAACTAAGGGTAGAGAGGAGGAAGAAATAAGACATGAGAGAAATGTGGTACAAAGAGCAAGTAGCCAACAGCTTGAACAGGGCATGCATGCCAGTGAGAAAAACCATATTAACAACCCAGACAGGCATGAGAGTTCAGCAAGGAGGTTGGTGAAGAAGGAAGAAGCAGAAAAATGAGGAACAGGGGACCAGAAGAAAAGAAGCTTGTAATCAACTAATCGAGGGGTGGGGGTGGCAAGGTGTTTATGAGAGGCATGCCCAACCAAGAGTAATCCCAATGAAATTACTGGGGGTGGAGAGAACACTATAGGCAGAACACATTCTGCCTCAAGGTTTATAGTTCCTGGCACATAACAGACAAAAACCTGATTTGAATAATTCCAGAAGAGTAGGTCCAATATTCAAAAGCAAAGGTTTTTGAATGGGTGTTCTCTTGACAGTTGACTGACTGTGGAAGTGTTGGAGTGGACTGTGACTGACTGATACATCAGAAGGGGCAAGAAATGGGAACATGCTCAATGCACGATGAGAAGTTCAGACATGTTGAGATGGAGTAAGCATTTGTCCAGCATCCAAATGCAAGGAGTAATGTTGTCATCAAGAGATGCACCTCAAACTGAGAGTATAGATGGAGAGATAGATCCAGGTTGGGGTTGGTAAGTGAATACCAGAAGAAGTACTGACACAGTCAAACTACCATGACAATTCCACAAGGAGAGGTTCACAATCCAGGATGACAGAACCCAAAAAAGAATCCACTGTATCTGCAAGGTCCACTGGAGGAGGCACATGTGTGCATGTCCCAAAGTAATGAGGGGATCTAGAGAAGCCTGAGTTCCCAAACGTGAAAGAACCCTTTGCATAGGATATGAATGAAAAGTCCAAATCCTGGTGACCTGAAACTCCATAGCTCACAGGCAATGAGGAGAAGGCTAAACTCAGCAGAGACAAGAGATGAAGAAAATACCCAGATGTACCAAATATTGAGTGGGCATGAGAAAGGACTTGGATGTCTTGACAAACCAACCCAACCAAGTAGCTTTCTGCAAAAGAAGGGAGATGTGTGAAGAGGAAACCTCCTGAGAATTGGTCAATAGAAGCCAGTAATCAAAGAAAAGAAATGACAGCCCCAGGCTGTGAAGATGTTGAGTATAGGCCTTCATAACACAAATGAATACAAAAGGGCCTAATGCTACATTGAAGGGAAGAGCAAGGAATTGGAAGACACAATGTAGATGGAAAGAATGTAGAAAATGTCTGGAGAATGGGGAAATAAGGATGTGTAGGAAGGTATCTGACACATTGATCAAAGCAAAATACAGACAGGTTTGAAGCGAGAAGAGAAAGAACTCAGAAAAGAAGTGAAGTGGGCAGAGAAAGTGAAAAGTGTCTTTTGACAGAAAAAAAAGAAACCAATGGCTGGTAATAAGGAAGATACAGGTACTTACAGGGCCTGACATGACAGGATAACCACTAACATGAAAAATAAAAAGAGAGGCCTGGAATGGGAAGAGTAGGAGTAGACTGATTCAGACAAGGAACAGGAGTCAAAGGGCAAGGTTGAGAAAGAAGATAATAAGGACTGAAGTCACGCAACTACAGTCCAAGTCTTCAGTGGGAAATGAACAACACCAAAAACTTCCAAGAAAAGAAATTGTGCCCAACAATGGCCGTGTACACAAGGAGGTGGAAGGTATAGAGTAAAGAAGAATACAATTTGACCCAACGAGTCCCAACAACAGCAGGGGAAAGAAGGACAGAGCAGAAAGAAGTGGAACAGGCTACAAGCTGGCAAGAGAAGGGAATGAGCATCTTCAGAAAACCCCTCTGGAATACAATGAAGTGCTTCAGATAAAAGGTGGAGGGAGGACAGGAAATATAGGAGAGTGGTGAGAAAAAGACAAAGATGCAAAAATGGGGAAACAGAGAGCAAAATAGAAGGCAAGGGGACTGACCCCTAAGCAGACCAAGTACAGGGAATCTACAAAGGACAGGAAGAATGTCTGCCAGTCAGGACAAAAGAGTTATGAACACGAGGAGGATGAGGTGTGTAGGTGTGAGTATAAATATTAGGGTAGCTTTATTTCAATTCATTTCTACTTTAAGGATATTTAGGGTAAATGCCTTTCCACAACTGGCTATAGATAGGGAAAGGCAGTAGAAGCTGAGACACTGCGGTTGTAAACACTCTGCTTTATACCCTTATTTGATTTTTTTATGATTTTCCATGACGGCTGACTAGACTTACATCAGTGTTTGGATTTCGTCTGACAGATGGGAAATCCTCAATGCATTTGGGTGCTATTACCACAGACATTATCTGTTATGACAATAAGCATCTTAAGTATTTGTTTTATTTTGAAATATGCAGCAATATACAGCTAACATCAGCTTTTTTTCTTCACAAATTCTATATGTCCTAAAGAAAGATGATATCTAAATGGTATCACATTCACAAATATATCGGGCATAGTAAAAACAGTGTGATCAATACCAAAATTACTATACTTCAGTCACATAAATTACATTCATACTATTACTTTGTACTGCAGCTTACAGGAAAATTTAACACTTGCTATAAATTAATCCTAAGCATGACAATAACATGTGCTAAGATTTAACTGAGCCCAAGTGGTGTATAACCAATATTTTTATAATAATAATGTATTATTGTGTAAAGATTGTTCATGCATGCAGGAGTTACTGAAATAAAAGATAGTGTTTTTATATGACATCTTAGCCAAAATATTTTAAGTAAAAGAATGTTTAGTTACTAAGTTAAGCCTAATGTAACATTACATTTTGATGGTTATCTTGATCACATACATATTGAAATTAAATTCAAATAAATTATTTACTTTAAACAAGCTTTAGAAACATCATAGCTGATAAAAGTTAGCAAATTATGCCATAATTTGCATCCATATTATTAAAATCCATTTAAAATGCAATATGTTGTAAAAAATGCACTGGAAATACATAAACCCACTAAAGTTTTCTTATTACAACATTTTCCTTTGAGTAACTGTTAGCTTTTCAAAAAATTTCTGAATGAAGTGTGTATGTGTATGTATATATATAAGCTTTATTTGTTTATTGTTAAGCACAAAGTTCTTCCAACAAACTCTGCAAGTATCATGAACTACAAACAGGGCTCTAAGAAAGGAGGCTCAAAAAACAGAACATCACAAGCAGTTTTATAATTTGATGAATATTCTAATATCAAATAGTTTTATGTACTAACCCTGAAGAAGCCACAAATGTGAAATTTGGGTTAAAGTTCTCTTATAATTATCTGGATTGCAAAGGTCTTTTTTCTAACTTTATTATGAAAATGTGTAAATTCCTCCAGTATGCACTATAAACTTTGAAAGACAATCAAGATAATTCATTAAACTTATTAATTAATTTCAAAATCGTTCATGTTGTACTAAAAACTTAAGCATAGATCTACATATGATAAATAAGCATTAATCCTTATAAGAAGTCACAGTTATGCTAAATTTTTAAGACAAGTTATACTGACAGCTTTGAAGTTTGCATCAAAACCAGGTTACCTCACTACTTCTCAGACAGCTGTATACATTAGTATGTTATACAAATAGTATTATTTTAGTAGGTTACACAAAGATTATTATTTTTTTGAAAATTTTAATCTATCTCGGGAGCAAGAACATTATTTACAATAATGTATACAAATTAATGGAGCTTGAACAAACATATGCATATTCAAAGTTTATCAATATATAGACGAAAAGCAATAAATTAGGCTTAACTACAAAATAACATTACAACAAGGTGTAATTATTAAATGAAATTTCAACAAAGGAAAGATAAAATATATAAAAAAATTAAATTTTCTATACACTTTTAGAGACCATGTTTTCAGCCATGCCTATAACTATAACATTTTAGCAAGAATACAAAGCAACTTTATTAGTTATAGAAATAGCTGTTAAGCTAGTTTAATGACTTATCATATAACTGCCGTACCAGTTTGCTAGCAATAGTCTTGTAGCATTAGGAAATAAATTAGAGCTGAAATGATATATACAGAAATGTAGTAATGCTGAAACACAGAAAGCAATAATAAATAACTATATGTAAGGAACATAAAACCTATTAATAAAAAAAAGGCAAGCACATGCCTGCCTATATAGTGGTTGCTTGTGTTTCTCCACGTCAAATAGAGTAAACTAATACAATTAAAAACAACTGTAGCCCATGAAATTAAAACAATGTTTAATGACTAGTTCTGGTAATTCAGCAAGTTTTATTGGTTAAAATGCATCACTGGGTCATTTTTAAGCAATTTATTTAATAGAAAAACAATCATGTATGCCAATAATAAGTAATAATTAATTCACTTCATTCAAATAAAAGAAGATATTTGTGTTCATCTGTGGTATTGAAAAGGTTAAAAACTAATGAAATGATGATGGACACCTATGATATTAAAAAGTGTAGTGGTTTAGTTAACTAAATCATTTGTTTGGTAAATAAGTTCAAAACCCATTTAGTGTTATTCTACTTCTTCAAAAACATTGTGATATCATAAGATAGTGTGCCACCCTTAAAATTCCTGTATCATAAATACTCAAAACCATCACTTCCAACTAAAAAAAGTATCAGTCAAAATATTCTGAACCTTTACAAGCAGATTAAAATAGCTAAAATGTCTTGCCATATTTCAAATGATACAGCTTAATGGCTGAAGTTTCTGTCTGTTAAGCAGAGTCATGGGTTAGAATCACAATGTTGTCTCAAATTTCCAATTCCTCGGGAAAATAGTGACTTTAAAAATTTTTTCTGAAATACAATTAAAACCAAAGAGATAAAAATTTCAACTTACTCGTCCACCATACTGTAGTTTTGGAGGTGGTAGTATACGACCTCGGACTTCCATCATAATGTTACTTATAGATAATCCAAACTCTCGGACATATGGGTCATTGTTAAAGTCTGCCTTTCTCACCTGTCAAAATTCAAATAAAAATTAAAGACCAATTATGCTGACTATATCAAATTATCACAGTGTCATTATATACAATTTGTAACTATTTAAAAAAAATGTCTAATGAGGGAAATCTAAATGTATTTATTGAATAATTACTTGTAATATTTTAATGCAGTCTTGTAATTACTTTGTACAAGTAGTAGAGCTGAGCCATTAGTGAGATTTACTAATTGATTAATTGAAGGGCTCAGTGATTGATTATAGCTGATTAGTACACACCTGCTTCTACTGGCACGTCTGTACAAGCAAGAAAAAAGTGCCTGTGTGTTATCTTCATTTCAAGGAGGTAGGGTGTGTCTTTAGTCTACTCGAACTTTCATATTATTTTAGACTAAAATACATTTTAGTAAGTAAGCTTGATAAATTATAATGGAATTCTATGGTACTGATGTAGTAATTTATGATTTTTTAGTTATTCAAATGTATATATAAAACCTAAAAAAATTATTTTGTTTCATATCCCCCACGTGCAAAATTTCTAAAGGCTTAGCAATCTACATCAAGCAGCAACCGAGTACAAAGGTCGTAACTAGAAGAGATAACTGTTTGCTTTACTTCTTTATTTACTGTTCTATGTTTTAGAAAAAATATATTTAAGAACTTATTTCAAAATAGCAATAATCTATATACATATATAATGTATAATAATTGAAGTGACTGTATTTTACAAAATACTAGTTGACCAAAACACAGCCAAGACAAGTTACTTTGTACAGACCAAAAGTCAGTTTTATGTTATTGGATATGGTATGATGCGTGCACATGTGCCACATCATTGTAACTTCTGTATTCTTAGCCAGGCATGGCGAAAAGGTCAATGTAATAAAAATAATAAATATATATAAGTGTATAACACTATAAGATTTAAGCTACTTAGTCTAAACATTTATGTTTTCATATTATAATCTGTAGTAATTCTAGAACGAAAGAGGCATAATTTATATTTATTTCCTAATTTTTCGTAGTGGTTAGGAGATCGGTCATATCTACTGAACCCGTACAGAGATTCATTACTGAAAATAACAGATAAACTTTTTTCTTAAGAAATGTTTGATAACTATCTGGATATTATAAAGATTTTGCAAGTTAAATTTGAAAATTTTCTGATGCGTAAAGGTACTTTTAATCTTAAAATTAAAACTACCTTGCATGTAAGATAGGCAACATGTTAATTTTTGTAATATTGGGGTAAAATACAATAAACTGACCTACACTTACATCTATGCTATATTATACTGTCTTATGTATAACATTTAACCTAGTTTTTAGTTTAAAATGTCTTATTATATGGAAGTTTGTTTAAAAAACAAGTCTTTTCATGCATCACACAGATCTAATGTTGCATGAGATGACATAAATAAGCTTTAGATCACAAGTGGCAAATTACTATAAACCACCCCTTCCCTTTTTCCTACACACCATCTGTAACAAATGGCAGTCAACAGCTTTCCTTATACTTATTTCTTTCACATTAATACATCTTTATTATTAAACTACATTCAGAAGTCCTCATGATGTATTCATATAACTATTACAATAAATTTAATGCAAATTAACATACCAAGTTATTAATTTCTCGCTCTCTGTCAGGTGCTGATCTTGCAGTAGCCTAGATTTGAAACAATACAACATATTAGAACTTTCTTTTTGATGAATATAAATATTATGACACTTTCACACTGAATAAATAATAAATATGTTTTCAGTCAATTCTTCATCTTTTATAAAAGTCCTACATTTTAGGATGTTACAACTATGAGATTTGAGCTCATAATATAATTACAAATGATTGCTAACAACCTATTTTGACTTTTCTTATTCAAGTATTGCTAAATACTAAAAATTTTATATTAAATTACATAAACACAATAGACCTAGTGACTGCCACCAAAAACACTTATCTGCAGCTGTAGCTTTAGATTTTAAGCTCCAGATTACATATTCTGTGCTAATATTTAGAGAAAACTCTTTTCTAAACCTCAGCTGATGTTCCCTGTATTTTCTAAATGGCATATCTGTATCTGCTAGCATCTATGATCATTCTAGTAGTAGTTTCATAAGTATTTTTAGAGAATAAAGTTGACATAACATGGGTCTCTTTTCTGAGAGAATCAGTGGGACAAACAGCAAATAACTTTGAAAAGGAAGTGAAATGCAAATATTTCTGACTTGCAACAATTTTTTTAAACTAGATATATAGGAGATTAGAAAGATTTTCATTAGTCCAAAGCTTCCCATTGCACATGGGAATTCTGAGACCCTTGTTGTGGTGCATGTGGTCTACCTTAACTTAAACTTTTATTGCTACCTTGATGTAAGTCAACTCAAAAGAGTTATGTAAGAAAAGGATCTTGGTGTTTTGATCAATCTGTCTCTTAAACTTTCCAGGCAGTGTGTTGTTGCCAGTGCAAAATCAAATATGAATTTGGGTTGTATCTATTGGAAGAATAAATGTAAGTCAAAGAAGGTTATAATTTCTTTGTTCAGTTCCCTAGTTACGCCTCATTTGAAGTATTGTGTTCAGTCGTTAGCACCTTACTTTAAGAAGGACATAAAGTTGTTGGAAAGGGTTCTAAGGAGATCTACTAGAATGATTCCTGGAATGGAGGAGCTGATATATGAGAAGAGGTTAAGGTATTCAAAATTATTTTTTCCTGAGGAAAGAATTTTTCAGAGGGGATCTGACTGAAGTGTTCAAAATTATAAAGGGAATTGAGAGGACTGATACATCACTGCATCATCTTTCTTTTTTGTATTTAATGGTAATAGTGGTAAGACTAATGGACATTGATCTAAGATTTAGCAGGTTAGAAATCATCTGTGAATTAGGCAATGTTATTTTTCTAACAATATGGTCAGCCTTTAGAACAGATTGCTTTCATGCATAGTAGATGCAACTGGATTGGGAGAGTTCTAGAGAGGGCTTGATGAATACTTAAAATATATGTGCTGGATATAAGCAGGTGGATGATTGATGAATTAATTGGCCAAAGGACCCCTTGTTAAACAGGCTGGCACTCAAATGTTCTGTTGGTACTTGAAAACTGGATTTAGCATCACATGCTTTAGATTTGGATGATGATTTTCCAGTGGCTGAAGGAGAAACCACAGAGGCATACAACATAACTTCTAGTCGGCAGTCTGAAAACCTGAAATGATTTGTTACATACTGGAATTCTTCCTGTGCTATGACTGCAAACATTTCGAAACTTAATGATAAAAATGGATGAACCTAGAAGAGCACTCGTGGTCATGATCTGTGACTAGAAATGAAAGAAGTCAATGTGCTAAGAGCATTTTTGGAAATTTTAAGTCTGTAAAAAGAGGTCAATGATTTGAAAAAATTTCATAAAGCCACTGCTTGTCATTGTTTCACTAAAAGGGAGAGACTGTTATCTTAAAAATCCATACTGAATAGACTTGATGAAAGGATCCTAGATGGTGAAAAAACTCCTAGCATGAACAATTGATCCCAGTTTGAAAAAAAGTTCAGAAGTCCAACCAATATACAAAAGCAGATATATGTAGGGTGCTTAAAAGTGCTGTATTTGCAGGCTGCAAAATAAAAAGCATATGATGAGTTACCAATGCTGACACTGATAATCCTACTGTCAATTAGTGTTAACACTACCACAGACACTAACATTCCTTGTGTGTGACACAGCAGAGTACATTCTATGCAGGGAAACAATACAATTTGGGCAAAATTCTAATGAGAGAAGAAATCAAAATAAAACTTGATTTCAGATACAACTGAAACTGAGGATTCTGTCATTTTAGCTGGCTAAAAAGCCAAGGAATCTCAAAATCACAAAAGTTTCCAAGTTCAGTGAAATGGTCATGTGGAGATATACTCCAAAAAACACAAATAAAAATGATATTTTCTTGTGAGAAGAATCCCACCTTGACATTATGGTCCAATGAAGTCAGTTATCAATCTTACATTGGCTATTTAATCCATCTCCAAACCTGACAGATTCTATGAAAATAAATGATGAGAGAAGATTATGCAGCATCAACATAGTTAACTTGAAGAGTAATCTGCCTGCTGGTTAACGGGTTTCACACAAGCGGCTATAATACTCTTTACAAATATATTATGTATTGCAGCCTATGAAATGTACCCAATGGCACTTCACTCCAACAATACATTTACAATTATATAGTTAAGAGATATGTCAGATCTGTATACTCTTATCATAATAAGCTGTTGTTAACTGTCACGCAGGACTACAGCTATCAGTCCTAAATGCATGGTTTAAATACTAACTTCTTAAAATAGTATCAAATAAACTGTAGGTATCTTTACTCCAATTTTCATGGACAAGGTTTTTGGTATTATAATCAGTGGCAGATTAACAGGAAAGCAGATAGGGGTGCTGCCTAAGAGGCCCCGAGGCAAATGGTGACACCAAATATTTTAGGCTAGGATACTGTATGTGAAGAGTGATTAGGGGTCAGTACAACTGTGAACTGCTGTACGTGACATGTACTATATTTTATAAAATAAGAAAATCTTTAGTCAGCTTTGGAGCAAATAGTTTCTTTATAACTTCATGTTGCTCAATTTCTTTTACATGTGAGGCAGTACAAATGTACTACTTCATTAAACATTATGCTGATACAGGTAGGTAATACTCAAGTCATGTCTAGTTACATTGATTTAAAATGACTTGGATGTAGCCTAGCTGTGGATATTCCTAGCTTAGTTACAGTTAAGTTAATTTTGATTGATAGGCAGGCCTTGCTTAACTAGCCTGTAGTTGACCTAATTTTTAGGATAAGTTAGAAATGAAGGGCCTACACTTTGTTAACATAGGCCTAAAAAGATTTTTCTAGAAGTTATACCTGCTTCGATATGAGGAATTATCTGTTTAAAATCTAAGTTGGTAAGTCATGTTGTTGCTTACAAGTGTAGTAAGAATGGGTAAGCTTAGGAAAGAGTAACAGAAGGCATCTGAAACAATTCTTGTCTTGCACAACAAAAACATGCATGAGAGGCCCCATATTATTCACTGTCCTAGGGCCCTGAGGTGTCTTTATCTGTCACTGATTATAACTGACTGTCAATATTATAAGTGGGTGATATAGAATGTACAAATTTATTACAAGAAGCAAGCAGAAGTTACATCAGTTTTTCTGGTTTTAAGTTGTCGGTGAGTATAATATTGTACATAATTTTTACAGTTTTTAGTCATTCTGCCATAATTGAAATTCACTAATTATGGAGTTAAATAGAGAACAATCAACAACAAAAATTTTGCAAAATTTTATCACTAAAAGTACTTTATAAGCAAGTGTTTTTTAATAACTAGCCAATTAATAATATAATTCTTTTTATTCAATTGTTACCTTAATCATTGTGGAAGTCTGCATATCAGTCAGCTTTTTAATACATCTTTGTCCTGCTACAATGTTACAAACCTGGAATATGGAAAACAAAGAAAGAAAAAGACTCCAAGTGAACATTTAAAAAACAACAACATTGCTTCAAATCATGGCTTTGTTTCTTCTCACCCATATAGTTATAAATATAAATTATTTTCTAACTTGTATTATCAAGATATGAAATGTATGAACTGTACATTGCCAACATGAGTAAATTTTATACTCTAATTTTATTTTCACTATCCATGGAATGTTAACAGAGGATGAGTAAATTATAATTATTGAAACATTGTAAAATATTTTAATAATGAAAATGTAAAATCATAGAATGAAACAACTTTTACCAAGAAATCATAACAAAGAAATTCCTAAATGCCCAATGTAATAAGTTATTTTATTCCTTTTGCAAACAATCGTAGATTTTCAGTTCCCTGGACTGTGTATTATTCTGAAGATATTTCAAGTATAACATCACCTGAGCTCATCATCCTTAAGATAACCACAGAAAGCACACAGTAGCATTTTTTATTCTAAACCTAACATAAGTGATACTGCAGCAAAACACATCTTTCTGTGTTGTGGTTTGTTTGCTCATCAAGGAAAGACCTTCATTCTTATACATGTGCCAATAATCTACAAAGGCATCATATACCATTCCATTTAAAGAGAGGATATCTATTTTCATGAATTTATGAACTGAATTACTGTTCTACCCTTAATCAAAATAGTTATAGTGGAATTCCACATCTTGAGATAAATTGAATGACATATTAATACTAATAGTTAAACAGATTATGTGTAAAAAGAGATATTACTGATCAAAAACTTACCCAGAGCTGAACAAGGTGAGTTCAACTATTAAACTATTAGAATCAATATGACACAGTATCTCAATTATGTTAGATATTATTGTAATTAAGAGCTGAGCATTATTATACTGTATTTCTTTTCATTCAATACACAAGGAAACTAAGTGTTACTATTTTAATAGGTGAAGAACAATGCACTAAAAAATGCTTTTGTTACTTGAGTAAGATATGCACATTATGCTATGCTAATATATAAAAGGTAGGTCAAACAATGATTTATAAGCATAAGGAAGAGTTTTTTATTTAGGGTGGAACATACATGTTTCGACCTGAAGAAGGCAGACCAATGCTCTGTCGAAACGTGTAGTATATTCCACCATACATAAACTTCTTCCTTATGCTTATAAGTTGTTGTTTGCCTCTCTTTTATTAATGCTTTTTCTAAAGCTCCTTACACCAGTAATGATTCTGAGATAGAAAGAAAAAAACTGCAACTTAAAGAAAAGATTTTGGAATACAATCACAGTGAGGTTTACAAGGAGCAAAGCCCACGTTTAAAGGTCTAGGGGCAGAAAAAACTCAACCAAACATGATTTTAAGATATTGTACAAACCTCAGGAAATACATTTTGGCCACTTTTGAAAATTAATTCTTCTTCTTTAAAAATGAAACATTTATGCTTACTGAATTATTATGTATTTACTAGTTTATTTACACAAGTCAAACTATAATGAATTTCTCTTTTAGATGAAAAGGCTTAATCTATTATTGAAAAGATCATGTACATATTTGATGATTAAGCATACCTGGAAGGTTGTAATTTGAGACCTAGTTTTAAGTTCTCCAAATAAATTTCATTCCTAAATGTTGTTCAAAGGCCTACAAGCCACAACTAAAATAGTTGGTTTTTTTGATAGAGTACAAAAAAATGCCTTTCATGTTTAAGTTTCTGATGAATTGACCATTCACATTTCCATCTTAAATCTATTCTAGCCATTTTAATACACTTTTAGTACTCTTGTAAACTGCTTTGGTATAAAAATAATTATCAATAATACATCACATCATTTGTTCAATCTTGAATGGTTGAATAATTTAAGGTTTCATTTGGGTTAAACAACACAGGATATTAATTACACCTGTGCAAGTTACCTGATCTTCACAAAAACAAGAGCTTCATGGATCTAATGTACAGAAGGAAAATGTCAAATTTGTAGCATATGGTGTTGGTATCAGAATAAAAATAAAATAAAAAACACTATTTGCAACAAACAACAACTACAAAATGAACTGATAATTTAGTAGAAAGACCTTGGTAGAATGCTGAAGGTAAAAAGTAAAATGTATTTAAGTAAGAATAATGAATTAATGAGAATAAAATGTACATGACTGTCCTTCTGATTAATATTGTCAACTAAAAAAGAACTTCCACAACACGTCTTGACAACTATAGGATCAAAGCTTAATCTTTACAAAAATGCCAAACTGCCTTCATAATACCTATCTTCTTTGTATTCAATAAATTACAAAAAGGGCATCAGGACGAGAAGATATTTCTACTTTGTGTGACAGCCACAAGGTATCCCCAAAACACAAGGTCAAGATGGACACAATGTAACTTACTATTCCATGAACAACAGATAAGATCTTTGACTGACAGGAGAGTGTGAATGGAGGTAAGTATTATTTGAAATACATTTTTGATTTAAGAAAATATTAACTTCCAAAATATACTTAACTCTTCTCACAATACAGCTACAATCCCACACTGATAAGGTGGAGGGGCTGGTGATGGCATTATTCATACAGAAAGCATCTGCATAGATCATGGGTGTGTCAATTGAAGATTTGCACCCTAGTGGGGGAACTGCACTACATTCACTACTGGCCAGGCCCAAACCAGATAGCTGATGTTCTACTGCTCGAGGTTGAAAATGTAGAGCCATGGTCCCTTTATCTCACATTGGTGACTAGGGCAATTGGATCGCAATATATATATAAAAATGTACTTATGATTGGATCCAAACCTGTAACCATAGAGTGATGCATTTCGAGCCACTAGAGCCACGAGAAAGTAAGCAACACCAAAGTGGACAAACGTTCTTCTCAACCTCAAGAAGTCTGGAAGAGAACACCCCAGGCTCCAAAGACAAGACCTTCTATGTCATACCCAACCTGAGGAAACAGAGCTTATCTTCATTCTCCAACCGAGTGGCAAGGTAAATTCTTCTTGTCTCTGGAATTATGGGGAGGATGTGGAACAAATTGTGCTCAACCAAGGATCCAGTATGGGACCACTAAGCATTCGGAATTACAACAACTGACCCTTTTCCATGAACAATGTAATGAACCAATATTCATCAAAAAGAAGGGCCACACAAAACCCAATTGGACAGCCAAGCATTAAATCTCAACCGGTATTACGAGTAGGCTCCAATGTAGGGTGGTGTCTCTCCTACCAACATCTGGGAAAAAACATCCAGGGACACAGGTAGAAGGGCCTCCAACTTTGTCCTCTTCTCAAAGAGTGGAGGAAATTCACTCTAGCACTGAAGGAAAAGCCTCTGTCCACCACCCCAGTGACTGGAAATTGGATGTGGTAAGGACTCCGTAGCTCCACTAGTAGAAACTGGGGGATAATGTGCATTGGGGAGCCCTGAGAAACAGTGCAATAAGTGAAACATGTTCCCTAAATTTTTAAAAGCAAAACAACCTCGATTTATTCACTCCAATGATCAGCAGGGACAGTATATTGAATTAGTGGTTGCCAGTGCGGAATTGGTTTGATGAAAGCACACCTGCTTGAAAGGTAAAGAAGGGACAAGTGTAGTAATGAAAATACTCACCCCTTTGTATAATCTAGTGGAAGTGGTTAAAACAGCTACAGGGGATAGGCAAAAAATCCTCAGATGAAGATACTACCAGATCATGCAAATAATGTGAGATACAAGAATTGGTGGAGGTCCACATACCAACCCACATAGTGTCCTCACCGGGCAATTGAAGCAGGCCACTAAAGACATAGAAATGTGATGAATATGATTAAACGTGATTTGCAGAAGTCTCCTTGCCTACAAGGAGAGACCAGAATAAGTAATATGAATCAATTTCGTACCAACCTCGTCAATGTAACCAAGTATAAATCCTGGGAAACTGAATGATCCCAATAAATAAAAAGTCATTGTCTAGTATCTCTAAAAACATTAGTGTGGACAACAAAACCTCCATGACACTCACTGGATATAACAAATGATTGAAATCTGATCAGTCATAGAAGTGAGAAATAGTGATAAGATAAATCAGTGAAAAGGATTTATCCCCTTCCCTGGCTGCCAATGTCTTTGGGAAGAAGAACTGATCTGAGGGCATAGAGAGAATAAGAAAGCAGTCTATGGACAAACAACACAAACCATTCTGACCAGTGACATCTGTAGGTTAGCAGCAATGAAAAATAATCCTTCAGGGATAGGTGATACATGGTACATGAGGCTAAGGTCTCAGGCAGGATTTAAGAAAGGGCATGCAATGCCACCTTAACATATCAGTTAGATAACTGGTATGTTCATTTGGGACAAAGGACCTAAAACAACTTGACAAAGCCAAAGAATTTTATTTTTTTCTCTCGAGTATTGAATGGTAGTCAATAAGGCCACCTTATAAGGGTGATTGTGGAAGTTGCAAAACCTTTGCCAAAGAGCCAGGTCAAAAAAACGAATTATGGCTGACACTTCTGATCAATTTCCTTTGATAAATGTCCATCACTGACCTAAGCAAAGATTGAGACAGATACATGGCAACCTTAGAAATTAGATCCCGATGCCATGCGAACGACTGCATAACCTCCATGCCTGAAGCTTAAGCTTCTGGATAGCCAGATGTACTATGTCAGATCATAGCTGTCTCCACAGAGATGGCCAAAGAGGAAGTGTAAGAGGTGGGCACTCCTTAGGATACCACAGAAGAAGAAACTAGGGTGTAGCTGCCAACCCAGTGCTATCAACAATGGGTTGGAACAAATCATAGTTAGTATGTTGGGTAACATATAAATTGGTGGGAAGGCCTAGAGTTGTAATCCCATCCTGTCCTGATGGAATGCATCCAATGTCAAAGCCTAAGGGTGAGGTACTGGAGACCAAATTGCCATTAGTTGGTTGTTCCAAAGAGTGGCCAACCCACCAATCAACAGTGTTTCAAAATGAGAGCCAATCCAACAGAAAACCTTGCAATGCAGCATCTATTCTGTTGGGAGAATCTGTTTGGGTCAAGGCAATTGGAGCATGACAAGCTAGTAGGATGATATGATAGGAGTGGGCCCAAGAAAGGAGATCCAAGGCTCAAAAATAAAGAGCCTCGAACCTAGTGCCACTGTGGAATTGTCAGAGTGAAGCCTGACTATTTTCCCCCTTAAAAAGCCTAGACCATGAGGCATCGCCTTTTGATAGAGCAAGAAGGTCTAAAACATTGTGTAGGGAAGCCACATCATTTTTACATATACCCTGGAGTTTCTGAGTGTTGAGATATGTATCCCACCCTTGAAGGAGGCTAAAACATTGTGTAGGGAAGCCTTGTCATCTGTGCGAATACCCTGGAATTCCTGACTGTTGAGACATGTATCCCATCCCTGAAGCAAGGCATTTGTGAAGAGATGGATCTCTGGATGAGTTGGTGGAAGAGGAACCCATATCTAAGTATAGTCCCAATCTAACAGCCCCTTGAGATCAAAGAGAATGATTCTGAATAAGGAAACTGGGGAATCCAGTGAATTGATGTTTATGAGCTATTGGTCACATAAAGACCATTGAAGGGATCTCTTGTGCATTTGTCCCAAAGGCATGAGGGATGCTCACATTACCAAAAGAGAAAGAACCATCATTACAGTGAAAGAAGGAGAGGTGAGTAAGAGTTGGGCTTTCTGTTCCATAGCTTGGAGCCAGATGGGAGTTGGCTGAGCCTGACCGAGATACATGATGAAAAAAATACCCAGACTGATGATATATTGTGAAGTGGGTCCAGTGAGCCACCTTTCATAAAATTTTGCTAAAGAAATATTTTCATTATATCATGGCTAATAATCTAATGTAAATGTAGAATGTTAGCAGACACTAAGTAATTTGGAGTGCAAGTACCATAGATAACTTTATTACCTTTCATCTCCATTATTTATAATGACAATTAATGACCATTATTTACTCACCTCCAGAGGTAGATATGTATGTTTATGTTCTTGACCAACTTGCAAACATGGCAAATAGGGATATCTATAAATTTTAAACATAAAAAAATTCAATATTGGAAAAATATTAAGCCAAAAACTAAGACAACTCAATACAGTAGATTGTTTTTCTTCAAGGCAATATGTATATCATTTTTTGTTTTTGGCACACATAACTTTGGTAATGTCTACTACAACTCACTAAAACAGATTTGCCATTTGTTTTTTGCAGATGGTTTGATAATGTATAAGCAGTGTTTTAAATTGATGTTTAAGTTGCTGGTCCACAGAACCATTAAATTAGCAACTTTAGTAATTAATCATTTTATAACATGCTACACTGTTAGGCCCAACCATTAACAAAATTGATACTGATGTGTACAATTAGATGCTTACAGTTACTACACACATTTTTTTTCTTTTCACTAAAAACTTACTCTGAAAATAACATATATATATTATACACAGATTAATTCTACTGAACACAGGACAATTATTGAGTTCTATGATAAATAATGTGCAAAACTTTTTCAGCATTCAGTTAGTTTAGCAACTGAGAATATTGCACAAACTACATAACTAAAGGATGTTGCAAAATCATTAAGTTGTCACTAAATATAAGCTTCAGAAAAAACTTCCATCTCACAAATAAATAATTCAATTCAGTAAAAAATTTAAATTTAAAAGATCATTAAAAAATAGATAATTTATCTTTGAGTAGTTGAAATTTAAGTGGCTGGAATAAAAGATGCCAAGGTGTGAAGTATTAAGAAAAAAAGAATACCCATTACAATTATTTTATTACCAAAGAACATGAAGTTATTTTTAGACCTACAATACAGAATTTAGTTCTGGAAATCACTGAGGTACTAATCATGTTGATATACAAATTCAGAAACAAGAAGTTATGGTTATACTAATTATAAGATTAAGTAGAACCATCCATAGTTCAATGCTACTTTGACTTATTTCAGATGGTCATTCACAGAAAGATCAGTTAATAAGCTAGTTGTATCCAACATGGATGATTAAAAAGTATTATATCTTAAATATAATCTAGGTTCTTCCATAAATTATTCACACTACACTTATGAATAAGTTCTGAATAATAGCAAGCAAAATATTATAATTACAAATAAAACATAGTGAAGACAAATCTCTTATAACAATTAGAAATATTCAAAAAATCCAGCTAACTTAATTAAATGAAGTAGAGTGAACACTGATATACTACATACCATTTTTTAAATAGGATGTTTATTTAAAGAAAAAGATTACTGATGATATTATAATGTGATTTAGTAAGCCAACAAGACTGAAAGTATATCCCAATGTAGATGTAATAACCATGAGTGTATTCTTCTTTATTATGAATGAAACAGTTTTTATGTTACATCAGAAACATACCATAAATATTTCATCAAATTTTTAAAACAAAAATGCAAATTTTGTTAACTGTTACAAAAGTAAAAGTATAAACAAATATTAAAATGTGCTGCACGTGACTTTTTACACGTGTGTGTTGTTATATACATAGAAATGTACATTATAAATGACTTCATTTGCAGGAAATTATAAATTAACCAAGAAGAAAATGGTAAAAACAAACAGCATCTACAATTCATGCTCAAAAACACAACACTAATTACCACACCATTTTGAATAATTTCATAATTCTGAACTCAGGCAAATACAACATGGAACTACTAATCAATAAATATGAAATAACACTTAATAATACTGCTAGCTGTTTTCACTCAAAATTTTACTGATGTGTTTAAGTTTTTAATATTTACCATTAATTAGGCCCTATGGTTCCTTTACCTCCCTTCACCCCCATTGATAATTGCACATATAGTAATTTGTATTATCTAACTTTCTTTTAATACATTAACTTATTCCATGCTGAGTTGGACAATGTGACCAACCTTGTAGCCACAAAGTAACCATCTGTGTCCATACTATAATTTTTAATATTTTTTGTTTATTTTCACTAATATTGGCAATCTTTTATGATAATAATCATTACAAGTCTTATGCATATGAAAAAAAATCAGTTTAATAAACTACTTTTAATAAAGAGTTGTCCATAAATATATAAAATCAGAGTGATGACTTCTCCAAGTGCAAAGCAATTTTCAAATTTCATTTACATAACCTTTAAAACCTCCTAAGTAAATATCAAATGTACTTTTTTTTTAGTAAAACTTTATATTTTATCCATTGTTTGCTTTATTCTAATCTTATATGAACTTGGTTGATTTGACCGACTTTGTAAACACCATAAAAAATATTAAATAAATCTAAATTGCCATTTTCTTCTTTCTAAAATGACTGCAGATTGTACAAGAAAACTACAATTGTCTATCCTAAATAGCTTAAGGCTCATAACAGTCTACATTTGTTTATAGTTAATTTTATCATTTTATTGCCCTTTGAACCGTGTATAATTTATAATCCTGGCACACAAGTTGTAAATCACTCAGCGAACATGAAGTCCATGGTACCTTATTGAATGATGTAATGCATGAGCTGTTTGTAAGTATATTTCGTGAAAAATTTTTTATTATTTTTTTTTTCTTAGCTTACCTAATGTAACCTAGTAAGTATCTAATTTTTGCATTTTAGTTATTTTTACAACTATAAATAAATAATATATATATAAAAAACAAGAAATGTAGTACTTACCTTTGACTTTGTTTTTTTTGCTACATTTTTATAATGATGGTACTAGTACACTAAATAATTTTTATTTACTTAAATACTGACAATTTTATATGACTATTATAATTTAACTGGGTTTCTAACTAGGACAAGATGGGCTAAAATTAATTCCCTTTCTGCTCAATCTGAACACAATGAAATAAGCTTTCAAACTGAAGATGAAATAGACAATACTCTGTAGTGAAAACAATGTAGCATTATACGTCATTTGATAGGTTAGAACTATATCTTTTTTCTGGGTTATAAGTGATATAGTATAAAATGTCAGAAAGAATTACTAGTAATTTGTGACAGGTGGGCATGGCAAATGGGTTTAATTTCTAGTCTTCAGACTCCATAAACAAATAAGAATATAGGCAATAAAAATTAAACTCTGCCTTAGTAATATCTGTATTATAATGACTAATATTTGTTAAATTTTGTATTTCAGAGATGGATGGTAAATAAAGAAGAGAAGAAGGAAGATCTAGAAAACAAATGACATGATTCTTATACTAGAAGAGAACAAGAACTTTTTAAAATAATCCCTTATAAAATTAAAAACTTATATATTTTAATGCCAAGTTTATTTTTAGATACTGATAATAAAATAACTTAATTAAATTTCGAATGGAACTCTGTAAAAGACCATGACATGTAGTGAAAGGGTTAATCTTACAACTGAATCAATTTTGTAATTTTTTGTACTCTTTTTTTTTGGTTGTATGAAAGGTAATACTTAATATTGCTCACAGAAAACCACATAAGATAATGTATAGTATTATTATGTGTGCTAAACTTGAAATCTCTATGGTAACAGGTTACAGAACTATTCGCAAGCTAAAACACACTCAGCCCAGAATTTGTTAGAAGTATGATTTATGGAAATAATTTATATTTATGCTAAATGATATACTGAATAAGAAATTGTACAGTGTACTGTTATGACACTAATGTTTTACATTTTAATTGTATTCAACATTTATATTTCATATTACTTTTGCATTACTTTATAACTTCAGTCTCTTATAAATGTGTTAAAATACTTTATTCTCCTTGGGTGCCAAATTTCTACACATGTACAAGTATGTTGCTACATCTTTTTGTTTCTTCCCTGCTGCAGTGAACTTCACCATAAAATTTTTTATTCCCTGTTCATGTTCTTTTTGAATTACTGTATATTTTAACTTGCTTTTGACTCAATATGCAAGTCTTAAAAAGCTCACATTACTAAGTCAGACATTATTTCAAGAAACAATGAAACTTCAAAACATTTTTCCAGGTTCACATTTAACAGTTATCTTTCCCATTTAGATCATGAAACAATCATTCAACTTGAGATGGAATAGCCTTACTCTCCTAAACTGTTTGGGAATAAAAACGACACAAATGATTTGTACGATCAAAGTTTGCATTGGAAATATCATGCAATCTAACAAAGTCGTGTAGGCTTCTGTTTCACAAGCTTAGTGACCAATATTTTGTTTGCACAATCTAGGAAGTAATGGTTATACTGCATGGTTCACACATAATATGGATAAATAATATATGCTTCGAATTACTGTAAGCCATGACTGACTGAAAAATTGTATTATACATTACGCTTATCAGCCTCAGTATCTGTACTCATAGATTAAAATCTTTTGTTATAGTGCCACATTAAAAAACTTATAATCTTTTTTTTTTAAACATGTTCTATCTATATTTTCTCACTAATAACCCCAAAAAAGTTTATATACAGGAATTGTTTGGAGGAAAATGAAGTTTCACAATAAAAAGGATAATGATACCTAATATAAAGAGCATTGTTTATTTATAACACAAGGGAACACAGATAAACATTTCAGAATTCAACAGATTCCATCTTCAGTATGTAAGGTAAAATAAAAGAATTACAGCATTCCTAAGTAAGTAACTAAAATACATTACTATAATAACAGTAATTAAATCAAAACTACAACAACAAAAACTAAATGAGTAACAAACAAAATACTGTACATATTAGAAAATATGCAATTTAAATGAAGACTGCATGTTGTTCAGTGTTGATGAAAGTTGTTGATATGGAGGGTTTCTTTAATCAGTAATTCCAGATTAGTGTTGGCTTTGAAAAATATATTGAAATTCGATAGGTTAATAAGTTCATATCCTGTTTCTTCACTGTGTTGCATATAGAGAAAGTACAAGGGTTACCCAACTTTTTTGCATTTTCATGGAAATTCTCATACGTTCATTGGCTCTAGCTAGTAGATAGCATTTGGTTTTGCCAATGTAGGAAGCCTTACAGACTCCACACATATTAATATATACAAGCCAAAAACGATTGTTGTTCAATGCTAGATATGAGGTAGGATAGAAGACACATTATTTGTCCACGCCAGAAATAATAATCCTGGAAATCATCATAAATTGGCCAATCAAAAGAAAATTTTCTTTCTATTATTTTAAAGAGAATTAATTAGATAATATGATAATGTTCAAAGTATCTTTGTTGAGAAAAAATAATAACATTATCTGAATGAGGTGTTTATATACAATACCAGGATAGAGGGTGTATTGATGTAGGTGGAGAGCATCACCTATGCTTAAATTATTAAATTCTTGAATAAACATATACATACATGATATGAAACTTCAGGCTCAATAATGAAACTTTAAATGAGAAACAATCACACTTAGGTATAGGTTACAGAAGTGATTAATAAAAACAGCCAATGGATACATCTACTAGGTTCTAAGGTTTACACAACAACCATATCTCTGAATAGAGTTCCAGCTTTTAAGTATTATTATTTTCTTTTTCTGGGTAGATGTTGTTATTAAAGGCTCTGTAATGCCAATATGTTTTTTTTTAAGACTACAGACTACTAGAGTAAGTAATTATTCCTATTTCTAAAAGGTCTAATACTCACATTGGTTGAATAAGTTAAGGAGCATAATTATGGGTACCCTTCAGACTCTTCAATGTAATTGAATATTTTTTGAATCATTGGGTTTCTCCTCAATGGTATACTTATTGGTAGAATATTATTCTTTTGCAGTACAAAAACTGGATTAATTACAAATCCAATGTCACAGTTACCTTGGGTTTCATTTTAGTTCATGCATACGGCATCAAGTATGAAACAAGGAATAATCTATTGTTGTGATCAGTCCCAATGTAAAACCACCTGGAGCCTAGTTATGTGCAATGTTATGGTAGACAAATCTCTGGAATATAGAATAAACAATCAACACAACATAAATCTGTAAGCTGTACCAGATGTTTCAAACATACTAGGTAGGCTTACAGATTATCAAGCAGAATATATTTCTTCACATTTAGTTACTAGATGATGGAAACAACACAGAGTTCCTGCAATGTAGGCTTCTTGACTGTGGGAAAGAATCTTTATACCCTACTGGTTAATGTGTATCCATTGAATCATCATCCAACAAAATATTGTTGCCAAAATTCCAGAGAAGGCTGAAGCTAAAGAGCTTGCCTTTCAGACTGAAAAACTGCTACACTGCTCATTCGGTGGTTATCATGATAAAAGAGACACTTGAATCAATAATAATGAATTTGAAGCTGATATATGGAATGGCTTTAAAGCTGATAAGCATACCTTGGCAGTAGTTTTAAATCTGAAAGACATCTACAATAGAGTCCAGCTGCCTATTCTTGCTCATATTAGACATCAGTGTAATGTGTATCATGGGTCATAGCTGTAGTAACTACCAGAAGATGAAGCATGGAAGCTGGCTATCAGACTGGATCACAATTAAAAGTGGTCTTCCTAAAGGCACATTACTCTCACCAATACCCTTCAACATCTACACCATGGATGTAGTCCACCTTTACAGTTCAACTTGTGTTATGTGCTTACCTTTACAAGTAACATTCTAATGTACAGCAGAGGCTCTGGCAAAGCTGAAACTGGAGATAAGACACAAATATCTCATAATAGAGTGAGAAAGTTGTGCAATGACACAAAAATGATCATCACTCTTGCCAAAAACCTGTTCTGCAAACTCAACAACACATATTAGTGAGGACAAACCATCTCCATCTTTTGTGGGCACTGCCATTCCTCTGTAAGAGAAACTGAAGTAGGTGAGGGTAACCTTGGACAGACAACTCAAGTTCACCTGTCACATTAACAATATGATAACATGAGCTACCAAATGCATCCATGCACTAACAGTTGCAGAAAAAAATACAGTTGAAGAATGTCATCTGCATATGGTTTATCAAAGCCTTATCCATCTATCCTG